AGGGAACTGAGTCAATTTAACTGACTGACCTTGAGTGAAATTAAAGAAATGACCCACTTAGGAAGACCATGTAAATCACACTCCAGAGAAGACGATCGTCACAATGAGTCGCCCGCAAAACAATCCACACCACTCCTTAGAACGATCACTTGTCGCGACACCCTGCGTCGCCGCCGTAAAATTTACTTAGCGCTCCCGCACCACGGCTGGTTAAACCGGAGTCACTGTCGAAAGATTCCGACAGTGCTACCGCACTACTGCCGGAAAACCCGGAACCGCCGCTGTAGAAAACCCGGTGGTGCTTCCGCACCACTATTAAAAAACCAGGCCTGCCGCCTCAAAAAACCGGCAGCGCTTCCGCACCACCGCTGAAAAATGAGGCCTGACGCTGCAAAAAAATCGGCAGCGCTTCCGCACCACCGCTGAAAAAATTGTGCCGCCGCAGCAAAATTTCAGCAACACTCTCGTACTACCGTAGTAAAAGCCTGTGCCGTCGCAGCAAAAGTTCGGCAACACTTTCGTACTACCGCAGAAAAAGTCTGTACCGCCGCAGCAAAATTTCGACAGCACTCTCATACTACCGCAGTAAAAGCGTGTGCCGCCGCAACAAAATTTCGGCAGCACTCTCGTATTACCGCACTAAAAGCCTATGCCGCCTGCCGTAGTACCGCAGTGCCATTGGGCCTGTCCCGTGGGACCAGCACCAGCCAAAGGGGAGGGGAGCAGAGTGCTCCCTGCCTTGGCTATGGCTGCCCAGTCCTCCTCCTGATGCTCCTCTGCAGTCCAGCTCCTCTTCACGTTGCCTCAACAGTCCTCCAGCTCCTCCTCACGTTGCCTCAGCAGCAGCTCCAGCAGCCACAATACTCAAGCGTGTCCGTCACACACTGGCAGCACGAGTGCTTTGTGTGGCAGTTGGGGAGCAGCTGCCTTTTTTATATTGGCTGACGAGGGTTGGACGTCACTCCTGCCCCCAGGCAAAAACGCGGGCTCACAGTGAGCCCTTGATCTGGCCTAGATCCAGGGCTGACTGTGGCCGCACCACAGCCACAGCCTTAGTGTGGGGCAGTTTCTTTAACTGCCCTATTTTATTTTTCTTTTTCTTTTCCCCAGCTATCTCAGAATCTGGCGAGATACGTCGGGGCAGCCACCATTTCCAAAAGTGTTTTTATTTTTATTTTTCTGATAAGGGGTTGGAAAGTTACAACCCCTTACAGTTTGATGTATTTGGACCCTTTTTCCAGGGCAGATACATCGGGGAAAAGACTGTAGTTAGCCGTTTTTCCTAGTGGCCCGTCAATTTCCAGGCTCCCTCTAAAAACGGAAACCTGACAGTTACCTCTGGCAGCTTCTACCAGAGGTAGCACCACGTGAGGACAAGTGTCCTCACCAAAAATGAAGAAAAGAGAAAAAAAAAGAAAAAAAACTAACCTTTTAATTTTTAATGCACCCGGCTTCTATTTCAGCCAGGTGCATGCTGTTGCAAACAACAACTTTACTTTTTCTCTGCTGCCCTCCCCTGAAAACGGGGGAGACAGTTGGCAGGTTGGGAGGAGTAGGACCTCCCCCTCCCAACTACCCCATTTCTCTCTCTCACTTCTTCATTCTCTTTCCCACGCGCGCACGCTGTGAGTCGTGAGATCTGAGATCTCATGGCGACAGTTATTCAACCCAGAATGAAGTGGGAGCATTTGTGCTCCCACACAGTTAAAAAGACTGTACTTTTGTCCCACGAGGCAGTTGCCTCGTTTCCATTTTGTCTTTTTTTTTTTTTTTACAGTTTTTACTTTTTCTTCGTTTTCTCCCTCTCCCCGTTTTCCTGTCTGGTTGGGCCTCAACGGCTATGGACGGGTAAGGTGGGGAGAAAAAAAAAAAAAAAAAAACTTAGTAGAAAAAACTACAACTAATGCCCAGAACGGGCGTCTGTATACCCCCTTAATCAGGGGGTAGATTCATTCAATTTTGCTCATCCTATGGCCGTCGGGGCGCAACCCCCTGATGAGTTGGTGCAAATCCGACGAAGCGGTCTGTCGACCATCCCCCTCTACTAACCCTCACCCTAGCCGCTCACGGTGGCAGGTTCATTTGATTTATTCATCCTAGGATGAGCAGTCGGAGCTCAGCCACCTGAAGAGTTGGTGTCGCTCCGACGAAACAGTCCGGCGCAGCCCGTTCGTCGAACGAACGGGCACTCAAAAGAAAAGGAAACAAAAAAATCTAACCAAATCTAAAAAAAAAATCTAAGGAAAAAAAAAATATATATAAGCAAAAATCTAAAAGAAGAAAAACAAAAAAAAAAAAAACCCTACCTAAAAGTGGTTGTCCGTTTTCAACGGGTGGCTGTCATTCCTTTGGGGACACTAAGTCCCTTGCCACCTCTGTAGGGGCCACTTGTCGCGATGTGTAGTTCCTTGAGTTTTAGTTTTTTTTTTTTTTTTTTTTTTTTTTAGGTTTACCGTTGGCATATCCCAACAGTCGTGCTGCGTTCGTGGGTTCACCCACGAACTGTTGAATTGCAGATCCGAGTTCGAGTCCAGATGGACTCGAAAAATTTTTTGGACTATTTTTCAATTTATGCGTGTCATCCTTGTGCAGGGGCCATGCTAATCTCGCGCGCCTGATCAGGGTCGCGCGATCTCTTCGATCGGACAGCCAGATCAGATCGCGCCGACATGAAAATAACCACGGCCAGGTCCAAAAGGAGCTAGCCCAGTGGTATATACCGTTTCTAAGATTCGATCTCGGTATCTGTCGGGTGACAGTTGAGTGCGTTATCCTACTGGGCTGGGTGTCGGGAGTTGCTCTTTTATATCAAGAGCTTAGCCCAGGTAACATCCCTGCCTGCGGCTTTGCAGGCTCTGCCCGTGTGTGGCCTGGCAGGCCTGCCCCGGCTGTGGCTTAGCAGGGATGCCCTGCCTGTGGCCTGTCGGCTTACCTGCCCGTGGCCTACCCATACCGGTTAGCCGTGTGGCCACCGCTAGGTCGGCCATCGAACCGGGTAAGTCTTGACATTGGCCTATCGTTCCCAAGGCTCGACGTCAAAACCCGCGACCTGCGTCGCGGCCCTATACCCCGCGCAACCCTAACATGTTATTCGTTAAAATAGGACATTATGATGTGTCCTCTTTCTAATGAATTCATTTTTGGCTGCATTCCAAGCAACGTAGGCACGCCCATCCACGGCTTAAGCACATGCAAAAGTGTGCTGAGATCCATACTTGTGAAACTTTATAAATGATATCCCAAATGAAGAAGCGTGTTCAAACCCGTACATGTTAGGCACGTCGTACGAGAACCTTGTGTGGAAGTGTACCGGGATCCTCACTTGCTGAACTTCAAAAACATGGCACTGCTGGGAATCCTGTGCAGAAGTGTGCTGGGATCCGCACTTGTTAAACTTCATAAACGAATAACGACAGGCACGCCCATCAGGGAACCATGTGCGGAAGTGTGCTGGGAGCCTTACTTGTTGAACTTCAGAAATGTGTCGT